AATTAGATGATAATCTGAGTGAGAAATATAGAAAAAAAAGGTTATAATATTAGCCGCACAGACCTAATATGACCTGAACAGAAGTGATTACTGAAAGCAGGTTCCACTGTATCTTTATGTATTCATAACCTACTTGTATGTACAGGTACATGATATTTAAATTTTTGTGTCTGATTATGTTTGTGTAGCCTTTGCTGTAGTTGTTAAGCTAAAATTCAATGAGTCTAACTAAAAGAGCGCTCTGTGAGTGCAAACCTCCACCAAGGCCTTTACCACAATGCGGAAAATAATTCATGTATCTGCTCCATGATTCAGATCATCTCTAAAATTTAGTGGGTTCTTCCTGGGTCCACGCTACAACTTTCCACCAAGTTTCATGAAAATCGAGCCACTGGTTTTGCTGTAATCCTGCTGACAAACAAACCAATAAACAGCTGTACTGAAAACATAACCTTGTGGCAAAGGTAACCAGTCCATTCAGCCTCTAGTCCCAGTGTGCTCCTCAAATTCAAAAACTTCTGAGCTGAATGAGACTCTTTAGTCACATCAGGGATTGCTGTCACAAACAGCAGAAATGCTTCAGGCACCTCACTGTAGAAGTCGCTGCTGGAGGATCTGCCATGAGCATTTTAGCATTTAGCATATTAACCAGACCTGCACCTGCTGGTGATGCAACACCCTTAGGTGATTTTGATTTTGGTCACTTATACTGCTTTCTGGGTGGTGCATTAAATCGGTGATTAATTAAGATCGACACCAGCTCTTAACTTTGCTGAGGTACAATAACGCTAACCAGACCAGATCCTTCATTTGATTGCAATGTTCAATTTTTGTACTGTTCTAGCCCCAGCCCAGCTGTTACCAATGTTCCACACCCCTCGCAACCCCTGACATTTGGCCAGTGAACATACACATTTACAACATGTACCATTCCCAGAGTGTCAGATGAGTGCAAAGTGTCACCTCTCTATTGCTCTGCCCTCCTGCAGCCACAGACACACTAGCAGCTTCTTCTCAACTGCAGCTGCTGATTTATCACCTTTTTGTTCAATTCCCACAGTTTATCAGGTCATGTGACTTCTGTTTTTACTCTGTGACGGATGTAACTTTAGATAAATCAAAATATAGTACTTGTGATACTACTTAAGTACTACTTAAGTAAAAGAAAATTGCCTATATTTAGCAATACAAGTTCACAAAAAGAACAACTGTGTTACATTAACGAGAGCCAGTGTAATTTCTACATTAATTAATTTATACTAGATTAGAAGCCTAGATGTACTAGTCCCCTAAAGTTTTAACTTTTCAAAAATGTTCACCCAACTTTGAAGTAAGTATTTACACTGTGCAAAGTCAAGACTCTAAATCAGTGTAACCATTGTATCATTGCTGGTATTCCAGCTGCCACTGCTGCTGCCAGACTTGCTGTACAGTTTCTTTGTGATTTATCACATTCTGAGGGTCCTGATATCTCTCTGTTCACATTTTGATGGGAGTGATAAAACCAGGCAGTAAAGTAATGTCAGCTCTCTATAACCACAGCTGGTGCTACTCACAGGAGGGCTGCTTTGATGTTGTTCAGACATTTGGAGAGTAGTCTTTGGGATCCACGTTGTGACTGACAGGGCAGATAGAAGAAATACGTACAGTATAAAGCCATATACAGACGTCACTGTATCTCTGTCAGCCATGATCAGCGTCGTAAACTCTCATGTGTCTCAGATGTTCACATTATCGTTAAATCAGAAGTGATTGATGGGCTTCGCCTGGAAAGTGGGCAGAGGTACTCACAATGAATATATGGTTTCTGAACTGAATATGGAGAAAGTACATGTTCAAAAATAAAAGTTACTTATCTAATAAAAAGCCATGATTGAGCATGATTATGTTGTTAACAGCTTTTTACTATATTTAGACATTTGAAAATAAAGGTAACATTATGATTGTGGTCTAAGAGCCTATAATATTTATCTACCTTTCTTAAGCAGTTCATTAGACAACCACACAATGATGGGTGATGAATTGTAGAGATTCTGTTGGTGTGCATTTGGCCGAGTAAAAAAAGGTAAACAGACATAAACACTGTCTTGCAAAATAGATAGGAATCACATCAGGGAACAGGTGTTCTGTATGTGCAGAGTTACTAGTGCAGCTAGTCCAAACAAAAATGGTCTGAGAGTCGAAGGTTAAATCTGATTTGGGAGAGGAACAAACTCTTGATTGGCTCCAGGCTAGGTGGTTTCAGATGAAATATTGGATAACAACTTCGGAGCTGGGGGTAAACAAGATGAATTCACAAGAGGAATCTAAAAACATTAGAAAACTGTTGTTGTACAGGGCAGCTGCCAGAGTGTGCAACTGTTTGAATGTGTAGCAGGGTGTTGCTGGGAAAAGAGAAGTTCACTTACCCTGCCTTACAGAGAGAGAGAGAGAGAGAGAGAGAGAGAGAGAGAGATTTGCCGGGGGTCAGATGTCCAGAGGTCTCTGAACTGACCACTGGCTGTGCACTCTCCCATGGCCTGGTGTTCTCAAGGATGGATTATGTACAGAAAACCCCAGAATCTCTCTCAGGTCTGCAGATGCTCCCCTCCCTGCTGCTCTGCAGTTAGAATATTTGGAGAAATTCCACCTAAAGGAACTCTATAGGATACATAAGCCCCGTTTCCACCAAACACTTTTGGTATGGTACCTTTGGAACCAAAAGTAACCTTTCAGACATGGTATGGACATGGTTTTAGAGTTTACTAATAACAGTATGAACAGTGGTTACATGAGCTTCAAAACCAGCCACAACTCAGCCCTGAGCAGATAGACCGCTACTGACCAATCAACAGACTGCAGTGTTCACAGCTCCACCTTTTAGTACCAGATCTGTGTGCTACGTACCCCAACACAAGGGGTACCACAAATGGGAACTGTACAGAAGAGCTCCATTGGTACCTTCCACAACTTTTTGCTGTGGAAACATGCACCAGACTGAACTGTACTGTACCACACTGCTTGGTGGAAACAGGGCTATAGAGTGTATTTATGTGTCAGATGTTGTCTGCACATGGCTCTCACAGCTAATGGCGCAAACACCTGGAACAGTGTTAACACAGCAAAGTGGTCATAGAGCTACAGTGTTAATTGGGGTGGGGGGGGGGCAGGAGCGTTGGTGTAATGATCCCAGGGACGACAAGGGATGACAGAGTGGTGGCAATTATACACGTGCTGCTTGACTGTTTCACACCAACGAACGGTGAAGCTCAGATCACAACTGACACAGAGGGAGTGTGACCTCATTCTCTGCTCAGGATGCCATTACGACAATTCATAACACATAGTTGTTTGCTGCTGTATTAATGTTCTCAGTGTCGCATACAGCTCCTTTAACTTTATCTTACAGATGCAGCTGTATTTCCATTTGTTCCCACTGTTCTTTGTGTTGGAGGCGATGAACGTCCTGCATGTTTTTGTGTTATGAAAAGTGCAACTTGTGTATGTTCTCTGGTGTCTGTAAAATAATTCAGAGGGATTTTGAGAGCGAGAGATTCAGTTTTGTTGTTTGATCTTGTTTTTCTGTTAATTTTGTGAAGCAAACGTGACAAAAATATTGTCATTGTCTATGGAGCAGGTAGACAGAGTGTGTGCTGTGTAATGGATAAAAGTAAAAATTAATTCCTTGTGTCTTTTTGCTGAAAACTATTTATATCGATAAGCACAATGCTGGATCCTTAAATTGGCAAGAACTGTTCACTTGTTTTGACCTCCACGAGCTGTTTATAATGGCTCAGCAACAGTGACCACACATCTATAGTCTTATTCCAAGAACATTTAAATTTCATGCTGTGTAGTTATGTTTCCCAAGTGTGACACTTGCATAATTACATATCTATGTGGTAATATGCCCTTTAACAGTTAAGGCATTAAGTTATAACCTATTCCTTAACTAGCAATTATCTCAGCGAACACTGGATGGCATTGTTGCTGTTCAAGAACCCTGCAATTTGCAGCAGTACTTCATTTTTCCTCACTGTGTCTGGGAGGAGGTGGAAACTATACTGTGCTGCATTGCAATGCAATGAGTTGTTATTTGATTTACATATTCAAATAAACATATTTAATAGATTTTTGCCTTTTTTTTAAAGACGTCATTTGATCTAGAGTGAGACTGATAAACAACACAGAAGACCAGATTCAGGAAAAGACTTTTCCTGTCAGACAGCTGAAGTCATCAAACACCTCATCTCACACATGTCACACCTCTTCTATCAGACCCCAAGGCAGCAGTGTATATACTAGTTAACCTATATAAAGATCCTCAGTATGTGTAGTGTTTCTTTAGGTGTCACATGAGTCATCAATCCCTTGAGAGGTGAGTAAATTAACTTACATAAAGATCTTTTTTGGCACTTTTTTGTCTGTCCGCTTTTTTACGCTTTCCGTCAAAGTCAAAATGTATATATGGTTTTATTGTGGTCATAAGCCTAGGAGTCATTTTGTTTAAGTAGATGATTTGTTTCCTCTACAAGTTAACGGTTCTGTTTACTCACTGTTCCCTGCAGGAACACAGAGTAGCTGTCAGGAAGCTACCCTGGAATAGGAGACAAACCAGATTTTCCAGTCTGGCTCTGGCACACCCAGTTCACCTGTATTTTGTCCCGGACACAAGACACCGTGGGTCACTGACTCACTAAAGAACATCACTGTCACTGCTGATGAGAGGCTAGTTTAGAGCCCTTCTGCCTGTACATATGAAGTGTCCTGAAATGAGTTACTGATTTATTATGTCTTTGTCACTATCCCTGCAGGGAAAATGATTTGGTGTTTTCAACTCAGCGTTAAGTCAAAGGTGAAACAGGAGATGATTACCTGTCAACAAGTGTGAGTCTGTTGCTCAGTCATAGAGCGTATTCCCAGTATTTTAGTCCATACTGCTGGTACTCATTCAGGCAAGAGCTTTCCACCAAGTTAAGAGCCCCTGCACCCTTTTGTGTAACACAATAATTTTAATAATAATGTTGGCAGATTTTTTTCATCCAAACAGTGTAACAGTTCCAGTATATTCATTAGGTGAAGTTTCACTCCAAAATACAAAACATCTAGAGAAATGAAATATTTCCTGAAGTGTACGACTTCAAATCTTCCTTCGTATTTTAAACAAATGACTTCAATGATTTTCTACAGTTTTGTCAGCATGGCGGAAATATTTTGATCAAAGCTCGTTATTCAAAGTTTTACTTGAATCCCAGCCTCTGTGAAACCGAATAAAAGAATAACTTTTTTTTTCACCAAAAAATGATTATACTTTGAAATGCAAATGAGACTAGTATCTAATTGTAAAACATGTTCTTCTTTCCCCAGCGTGTGGGCCAAGAATGAATACATAATGGCTCAAAATCTCTTAGAAAGAGAATCTTTTTACTCTACGTTGAAATTTTAGTTTGTGCTGAAAAAAAAAAGAAAAGAAAGATAAGTCTTAAAGTGCACATACTGTATAAAAAATAAATGATCATTAATAGGAGCTCCTGTGGCAGAAAAAAATAAGGGGCTCTTTCAAAAAAAAAAAAGAAAAAAATCAGTCTTGCTGATCTAGCAGTGGCAGAGTCAGTGGTCTCCCCTTGTTTTTGACCTCTGTCAGATGACAGTGAAGGTCTCCAATAAGCAGCTATGTTGGTGAGTAGCACTCACTGAACTGTCTCTTCCAATAGCAGTCGCCTCACATTCTCCTGAAAGAAACACAAGTGCCTCAAATACCAATTCCGGCCTTTCCAACCTAATTGTTTTCTACGCTCCGCTGAATCCGTCTTCACCGTTGCTCTGTTCAACAGCAAAAACTGCAATGCCATAACCTTCACTTTAATGGTACTTGAATCCAACATTGCTCACTCCTAACAGGTAAGTGAGACTTTTGAAATAAAACCTTATTTTGCAATGAGCATTGAGGTAAAAATAAGGGGGGAAAAAGGCATGTTTTATAAGCAGCATCTCCAGGGAGGGCAGCAGCAGCAGCACAGCTGTCGAAGTGGGTTCTTCTTCTTGTATCTGGCGGCCATCTTGAACTTCTCATTAGATGTGGCCACGTAATCCTGTGTCCTCTCTACATTCGTCTGGATGTGTTCAATATAGGCTCCTTGTTCCTCCACCAGCATGAAAATATCCATGAACAGGTCCCTCAGCTCCTTCATATTGTTCTCCAGACTCAACAGCTCCTGTTGGTGGAGAAGGAAGGTGGGATTAACACTGTAGATATAGCGAACATTAGTCAGAGGCTGGGGGTGGTGGGAGACTCGAGATGCACTGAGGGAAGAGATCCAGCTATTTATGCAACATCATGTGAACATATACATTCATCATCTATTTATACTTTAATGTATTGGTTCACTTGTATATCTTGTACTCAAGAGAGATTACCAAGTGAGTCATAAGTAATAGATTATCTGTCTCCACACAGATTTAATTTTATTCAGTGTTATTTCTTTTTTTGAGCCAAGACAAAAGTATTGGAAACTATTACTGATTCACTTTCAATTCAAGTGTCCATTTCTTTACCCCTTTGTGTCGTTAGATATGGTGATATGTAAGGCATGCTGTGATAGCTTGTTTCTGTCACGTGTGCAAGACGATGACTGCCGGTGTTATCAGTGCCGTTTCCAATGCAATGAGTAGTTATTAGCAATAAAGGTTGTTTTATTTATTTTATATATTATTTACCACCTACTTAGATATATTGCTGCTTCCAAGAGAGAGAAAAATTCCCAACAATATGTCCATATATCTAACAAATGTATTATTTGTAACTTGGTCCTAGCCTTGGATTTAGCCTGTTGTTTGCCACTGTCCTCACCTTGTGTCGCTGTTCAATCTCAGATAGCTGTGACCGTGTGATTTTGGCATCATTCAGCAGGTTCTCATTAAACACCTCCCATTTTCCTGTGGCCACCATCTCATTCACCTCCTCCTCCGTCACATCCCTTCCCGATACCTCCAGCTGCCGGATAATGAAGTGCTTACAGTGCTCTTGCTTGGTCAGCAGACCTTCATTATACTGCAGCATTACCTGGACATAATTACAGCAAAAGGAGAGAGAAAAAAAAGTGAGAGGGGGGGAGGAGAAATGAAAAATGAGAAGATACCTTTTACTGGCTTGAGTGCAATTTAATTCCTTGACGCTTGTGCATTTACTGTAAACTTTAGCGTTGAAAGACAGACATGATGTAATGAGCTGATCAAACACCTAGGTGCTGCTACCTTGCTGGTTGTGGCACTGTGATATATTCACTCATAAAATCCAGTTTTATTTTTATCCATTAATGTAATACTGTAATTTCTTTCTCTTGTCTGCCTGCCAACAGTCCTTGTCATTGACCACTACATTATACTAAATCGTGAATGCACACAGATAGTGGTAAAAAGGCCTCACATCGCTTTTTTCTTTCTATTGAAATTGCATCAGTTCTATTGAGATAACTGTCAGCTGTCCCTGAAGCTAAGTAAGACTCATGCTAAATGCAAATGTAAAAATGTAAATGAATTCCTGTGCACTAAAGTATCTCTGAAAAAAAGTTAAGTGTTGTATAAGGTTTCCAAAGCAGATGATCATCTTCCCAACCTGCTGGAATTTGCGGTAAAGCGCTGCATGCTGGGAGCGTTGTATTCTTGTTGTAACAGCAGTAGGCCCCTGCTGGTCCTCAGTCCTTTGGGCCTGTTTTGAAAGCGCGTCTAAGCGTCGATGGAGGCTCTCAGCCTTGAGCTTGATGTCACGGGTTATGCTGCTCTCTTTCTTCATCACACTGAAGCGACGCATGGTCGCCACCAAGGTCTTTTGCTGCTGGCAAAACTTAAGGACCTGTTTGTGTTTGAGAACAGACAGAATTTGTGTTCAGTGTCACCTCTGACTACAGTTTTAAATTTAACTACAAACTGCACGATACGATCATGTAGTCTCAATCTTCTGTTATTTTTGTCAGGTTTTATAATAATGAAAATGATGATAAAAAAGTAAAAGAAGTAAAGACAAACAAAAACAAGACGATTAAGAAACAAATCATGAAATTCATCAACAGCAGCAAAGGCTAATAAATTAAAATTATTAACAAAAACAAATGCATACTACCTATTAAAAAAAGAAAGATATGAAATTACCTCTATGTCCAGCGCTGTGATATCATCTCGGATTAGCTGAGCCTCAGACAGGAAATTCTCAATGATCGGCTCCTCCTCGAACACCACAGCCTGGGGTGTTATGACCGAAACAGAGTCATCATCATCCCCCTCCCCTGAGAAAGGGTTGGCATTCTCACTTGCTGCCTCAGAAAAGTCTTGAGCCCTCTTCTGCAGCTCCTCCAGACGGTCTCTCATTGTGGAAGAGCTCTCACCACCACTCGCTCCTCAGGACACAAAGTTATAATAGCATGTGTTGTTGTTGTCGGTGCTGATGGGAAGACACTGGAAATACATAACATGGAACTTTAATGATTCTTGTCAGCAAACTGGTACGTTACAGAAAACATCAGAATAAAGCAGGGTAAACATTAGACCAGAGGATAAAGAATGGATACATCTACTCAAGCAAACCGAGGAGTAAAAGTGACCAGTAGCCAAGTGCTGTGAGTGCATAAACATAACCATATAAAAGTTTCATAATGAATGGATATTGTATTGCAAGAGCAGATATTATAGGAAAAAAATACAGCGTCAGGTAACATTTTACTAACACATTTAGGTTTTCACACTTGGTCCTTTTCAGCCCTCTAAACAGACTCACAATGGTTTTCCTCCAGTTTTAGGTGCATCTGAAGCCTTTATAACCACACTGCAGTGCCACGTCAAAGTAAAATTAAAACTATGTTAATTATATATAGTGTAAACAGAAAGAGGACTGAGGCCCCATCAGAGCTGAAACTGACCAGATAAAGAACTGAATCCTCTTTTAAATGAACTGACAACGTGAACACAAAAAGAACGGATTCCCTGTTCTGTTGGTCCACTTTTTTGTGCACTTTAAGACGACTGAATTTCATTTGTTTAAAGAAGACAATATGTGAAAACACCCTAAGAGAAAAGGAAAAGGCCAACATGGTTGTTTTTTCAGGTGTCCCAGTACAATAGCATGTGATCTAGAGAGCTAAATACAATGGCAAAGAGCAAAGCAAACCTAGAGCGCTTTGAATTCACAGTACACAGGTTAAGCGACCCACACTCCCGAGGTGGTCTGAATGCGGGGGTCTGAGGGGTCTGAGTTCTGACACTATATGTGTATGTTTTTGTGACTTTTTAGATATGTTAATTTAGGTTTTCTTACCTTCTTCAAGAATACAAACAAACAAACAAAAACACTTTTAAAGTTAGCAGCATATAAACTCAGTTTCTAGGCCAGGAGGCAGGGTTTGTGGTAGGTTCTTGTCATTTAGCTTAAATAAAGCCATAAGGTGTACCTCACTCTTCAGGACACAGTTTAGACTGTGGACACAGTTCGTGAAGTTGAAGCAGTGCTTGAATGTAACTGAGTACATTTTCTCATCAACTGTACTAAAATCTCAAGGTACTTGTATTTTACTTGAGTATTTCTCTTGTATGTTACTTTATTCTTCTACTCAACTTCATTTCAGAGGTAAATACTGCACTCTTTACTCCATTACATTTATCTGACAGCTGGAGCTACTTAGTTTTCAGATTAAGATTCTACAAACAAAACTAATTTGTAGAATCCTAACTATAAAGCTTATAGTTAGGGCTGGCTCAGGCTTGCCTTGTACCAGCCCCTAGTTAGGCTGACTTAGGCCTAGTCTGCCAGAGGACCCCCCTATAATACACCGGGCACCTTCTCTACTTCTCTCTCTCTCTCTCTCTCTCTCCCTCTCTTTCATGTCCTGTTACTGCATCTTGCTAACTCGGCCGTACTGCATGTCAGTAACTCGGCTTCTTCTCCGGAGCCTTTGTGCTCCACTGTCTCACAGGTTAACTTCTATCACAGCGGTGCCTGGATGGTGTGACGTGTGGTTGTGCTGCTGCCGTGGTCCTGCCAGATGCCTCCTGCTGCTGCTGTTATCATTAGTCATACTTCTACTGTTATTATACACATATGATTATTGTCACATATGTATACTATCAGATATTAATATATACTTTCAACATATTGTACCAAAATAGCCTGTAATATTAATTATAATATTATTACTTACTTATTATTGCTGTTGTAAGCTACTGTCATTACCGTCTGTGGGTTAGGGTCTGTCTGTGTCTCTCTCACTGTCTCATTGTGTCATACGGATTACTGTTAATTTATTATGCTGATCTGTCCTGTACGACATCTATTGCACGTCTGTCCATCCTGGAAGAGGGATCCCTCCTCAGTTGCTCTTCCTGAGGTTTCTACCGTTTTTTTCCCCCGTTAAAGGGTTTTTTTGGGGAGTTTTTCCTTATCCGCTGTGAGGGTCATAAGGACAGAGGGATGTCGTATGCTGTAAAGCCCTGTGAGGCAAATTGTGATTTGTGATATTGGGCTTTATGAATAAAATTGAAATTGAATTTGTATGATAGGTTTAAAGTAAAGGTATACTATGCAGATTTTTCCTACAAAACATTGTATAGACTCATACAAAAGTATTCTCTCTCAGTCATCACTTAAGACCCACAAGAAGTGTGTGGCTGTGTATGTGTCTGCAGAGTCCTCTACTTGAATGTTCAGGATGTTTTGAGGCTGCAACTTTTGGGCAGTGGTTTGTAGCCTCCAGGCAATTACAGAGTACAGGTGAGGTTGGGACTTTATTAAAATCTAGCGACCAGGTAGTAGCAGCACGCATCAAAGAGGAAGCTATGAAAATCACGGACACAGTGCCAAAAATATGCAAAATGAGGCTAAGTGCCAAGAAAACAAAGCTCGTTCCAAAACTAGAGTCAATCTGGGGTTGGCTTTCACTCTTACTTTCACTGGTGAGCACTGAAGGAGAGGATGGGGATGAAGAGTGAAGCAGAGTTGACCTGTTTTCTGTCAGACAGGTGCCGGGGTTAGCTTGGTTAGCTTGCCAAAGAACGGGCTTTTCCATTGCAACAAATATAATGTTTATACAATATTGGCTTGAAGTGTCCGTCAAGCGGTGTAGGGAGGAGAACTTTGAATGTTGTTTGAATAAAGTGTTTGACAGTATAGTTAAAATAAGCATGGCCTCCACCAGCTGTAACAATTAGTACTTTTATTTTTGATACTTTTAGGACATTTTGCTGTTCTTTTTGCACTTTAATTTAGTCAAATCTTAAATGTGAGACTTTTACTTGTACCAGAGTGGTTGTACTATGGTTATACTTAAGTAAAATACATGTGCACTTCTTCCCCCACCTATTCCAAGCAAAAAGCACCTGCAGTAAAATGTGTACCCTGGCGTGTCCACTGTGAGTCAAAGCGTGATCAGGGTTTGTTTACATCATTGTAAGTCCGTCCGTACTGATATGAGCATAACTGATGGACATATCTGCACTCTGCTGAACACCGAGTTATATTTTTAACTGTATGAAAAACAACACGAGCACAGAGTTTATCTGCAACATCAGTCAAATTGACTCAAGTTGCTTTTCCCATGAGAACAGAGTGGGTTGTTTGTGTTCAACAACACACTCAGCAAAAAGAAGAGAAACAAAAATGCAAGGTTGTTTCACATTCTAAACATCGACAAGTTAAGGAAAAGTGACCTTGATAAACACATTAACTAAAACAGACTAAAACATGAAACAAGCACAGATACAAAATGTCAGGCTGTTGTTTACAAAGCATATATATTGGTTTGAAATAAAAAAAAAAACCCAACCATATCTTCACAGGAAACTGCTAAACATTTCACTTTCAAGTCCGTAACTCCAGTTTTCTGATATTTGCCAAAGCTGCTGTAAACAAGTGAGGTGGTCATGATTAAAACCCTGGGACACAGAATCTCATTTCCTTAATGCCTGTGACAAGTGGAGTGCAATTCAACCACAAATTCCTTCACATTCAAATGGGCATCCTAAAAATTTGAAACTGCCTCAGCAACACAAGGATTTGGGTTTTTAGAGGCCCTAAACATAATCTGCTGGAAGCACATGATTGTGTGGGGAGGAACAGAGTGTTTGGCGGCTGAGAAATGGAGCATTTCGAATCACAGACTATCCCATTTCTGGATGGATTTCAAACAGGAAAGACCCTATTTTGTGTGTGTGTATGTGGGAGAGACAGAGCGTCGTAGCTATCACAAACTTCTCATACCTTAAAGAATATAAAAGTATCCTTTATTTTCTTGGCTGAACTCTCTTCCTGTCCTTCCCCCCCCTCCTTCTCTCCCTACCTTCCCAGAAGAGCCGATTAAAAAAATTGCTCAAAGGATTTGGGAGCACATTCTCCTGCGTTTAGCCTAAAAACCTAGAAGAAGTGGAGCAGAGTTCGCGAAGGAGTCTAGCCTCTCCTTCTGTGATTGAATGTTTTGTTCTCTAAAACAAGCCGATATTTTCTTCCTGCTACCTCTTTGCACCATTGTCTGTGTTTCTGAAAAAATGTTATGTTGACATTCTCTCATCTCTGTGCAGGTGGAACAGTAGGAGTCCCCAAATGTTGTGTTTCATTGCCGGTCAAACAATTTTCTTGGAAATATTCCAGACTTTTAAATAGTTAAGCAAGAGGTCTTACTTAACTTACATTTATGCTCAAACTAGACACTCTATAAAATAAATGAATAGCATACAACACTGAAAAGCTACTAGAAAGATCAGGGTTATATGAGATTTGTTTCCACATAATTGCTCTTCAGTCTCAAATCACGACATGATTTAACACACCTTTACAGTCTGAGGCCGTAGCAAACCTTCAGTCTGACATAAGGATTTTACCTTAATGTAAGGTTTCCATCACAGGCCTTCTGCTGAGTATTCCCATTCAGAGTTGGCCAGGAATGTAATCCAAAACAAGCTCACACATTCTCTGATATCACCATGTCATCCTTAGGTCTCCTTACATTCATCTGACGCTCCTCTATTGTGAGTTACAGATTCGAGTTCTCTGTAACAGTTATGCCACCAACAAGCAAGGAAAGTTTTGGAGAAGTCTGGTTGAGTCAGATTCAAGCACCTCCCCTCCTTTTTGAAGACAGGCCAATAGGAAAGGAGCAGACTGCAGGCCCATTTGCTTATCTAAAGAAATGAGAGGTGACGTGATTAAGTAAATGAGAAGGGGGAGACCACATGGAGAGCGCAGGGAGCTCCTAAACCCTACCCTCAGGCTTACTCCTGAACAGGAAAATAGAGCAGAGCAAATAGAAGTGTATTGTGTGCATTGCTTAGGCCAAACAATGGGGATTGCGGTTAGAGTGTCAATGAGGGCGTTTGGTTTCTGATCCGCAAAGTTAATTTCTGTGTGAAGTGTCTGGGTTAGCAGGGTAAGCCCTCTCGGTCTGGGGGTATTGTACTCCTTAGGCCCCAGTAACTCCGCTGAGTACTTTTGACATATTTCTACTGACAAGCTCTCTAAAACCCAGGCGCCTTTTCAACACGGGAAGGGACGCAGTCACTCTTTGCTATGCAGCATAACACGCTGTGAAAAAGCTGTTTGAAGTGTGCCGTCAGAGGGAGAGAGGGGAGACAAGTTTTGAGGATGAGAAGAGTTTGGTGGGGACAAGAGTTCACTCTTCGTCACTTGAAACTTTGGAGGCTGGTTGCAGAATTTCTGTCACTGCCCCAACTGCCTGTTGCTTCAGTAAAAAATGAAAAGCAAATTAACCATTCGATGACTATGCACAATACTGACGTTTTATCTGTGTTGTACCAGATACTCTATGTCTGTGATAATGCCGCAGCGGCATGTTAACTGTGAGTCATCTATCCCTTATGGGAAGATATTATGACAACAAAGCAAAACCAGTTTTGTGAGTATCAGAGTATACCTTCATCAGCATCACAGGAACAAGCTAACTGTGCTGTCTGCGAGCCTGTTTCCTGTGGCTGATCAGTCGTCTATCATTTTTTCCTTGATTGTCCATTCGGCATCGCTGATTAATGAGTACAAGTTGGATGGGATTTGTTCACTCTCTTTCTCGTTACCTCTCCCACAACCTCTCGAGACCTTGAAGTGAAGTGGATCTCATCTCGGCATTCCTTAATTGTTTCTACTCCATGTGTAGAATTTAGTTAGGCTTTGACAACACAACAGCACTGGAAGAGAAATATCAACTAAGTTTGCCAAGATCATAAGTGTGTTTCCTTATTGGCTGTAAACTAGTTGCCCTCAGAAAGTACAACCAATTAAAACATTGGAACCTGTAGACTAGCAGAAACCCACAAAGACACACAATAATGGTTTTCACTACCTTGCGCAGATCTTTTAGTATTTGGCTGACAGGAAACAGTGTTGTGCATGGATACGCTACAAGAGTGTGTTCATTTAACGTGCTCAGAGAAATTAATGCATCAGTTTGCAACTCATGAACTTGAAGTAAGCGTTGTTTACCCTCATGACAGTGAATGACACTTGCACTCAAGGTTTTACAGCACCCAGCATGCTGACACAAAGCCTGCATGGCTGGTGTAAATGGGACTTCAGACAACGCAGCTGCCGGTACTGCTGGAGCCAGTTCATATGAATATTTGAAACACTTTTATGAACAAATCAGTGTGTTACAGATCCAAACAGAAAAACACATTTTTATGGAAGTAGTGCCTTCTGGGTATGAAAAATCAAGTCTGAACATCAGCTATATCTGCAATGAATTTGAATCAACACATTGGGTCTCATTCATGAAAAGTGAGTAAATCTGTGTGTAGATTTGCACATAAAAGCCGGCGCTACTAAAAACCTACTCCTGATTCAGGCATGCATCGTCTTTAAATTATTTGAATCTTAATAGCCTAAAGCTCTGTTTTATACAACGTAAATTAAACATTTTTCAAATCAGATTTATTCATTCAAATGATCAAAAAGCCACCACAAACAAACAAACAAAAAAAAACGTGTTGTCTCAAATAATTCTTTCAGCTGGTGCGTGCTCCTTCTGGCTCCACCACCTGCTGCTCCTGCTGCTCCTGCTGAACCCAGGCACCGAGGCCGAAGAGGCTGTGATCCGGCTGTCCTTACAGATATTTTTATTATCATCATTCAACATGTAGAAAGAACGTGTAATCTATTGAGTCGATTTACATAGATAATTTACAATCTTGAACCTAATCTTGATCTTAAACCTGCTAATTGCCAACTAATTTAACTAAATGTGTTATATTTTTAATATTTTGTCATGTTTAGATTACGTGTTTCAAAGGCATCTGTGTACTGTGTACATAACAGAGCACTATACGAATTAAAATTGTAATTTCCAATAGTGACAAGCAATATTTATGTGCTTTACTAAATTTACACAAGCACTACGAGTGGTCAGGAGCAGGAGTAGATTTTGTTAGTAGCTACGAAAAGATCGGAACTACTAAAATATTGATGAATGCGGACATGCACGTAAATTTCCGTTTCAGTTTACACACAAATTCCTTCTGCTCACGTTTCATGAATGAGACCCATTGAGATGTAGCTTTTGACCAGTCTGGACAAATATCTGCAAGTGAATGATGACCAAAAGATTTTAATTTATCTAAAAAAAAAAAAGACATGAACATAAAGTAGTTCATTTTTTGGGATTGTGAACTTAGTTCAAAATTCAAATTGTAAATTATAAGCGTGAACTAGTTCATTTTAATCTGTGTGAACTAAACTTTGTGTTTTAGCAATAGATCACCCCACAGGAATGTCATTGTTGCATTTTCTCGAACTAAAACAGTCATGGATGGCAAACAGTAGTTTGCTGTGCAGTTTGTGCAGAAAAAGGCCAAAGGAGGAAAAAAAGCTCAGAGTGTGAATGAGATCCTCGAAGGACAGGTACTGGCAACACAGACTCAGTAGTCTACAGAGGGAATTGGAGGTGAGTGTACTTTGTAAAACAAGGCTAACTTGAGGTTAAGCTGTTTATTTACAGATATATCTCCCTCAGGTGTCACACAAATGTTGTCGTCGGTCGTTTGAATGTTGTATCTTTAAAAAAAATCTATAAGAACAATTGGCAGCTACCAGATCTGAAGATTTAAGCATAAGAATCTGTACATATCACACACGGCATGACTGCCAACAGTTAACACTAACCAACCCAGGCTGGAAACGACTCCATCCACATTGCTCCGATCAATTGTCACACTGATTTCATAATCACCTAAACAGTCTTTGAGTCCTGCCTAAGAGGCTCAACTCAGGGAATAAAGATGAGAAAAAAGTGGAAAATGCTAACTTCACCATGTCAACAAACATTAAAGCTGCAGCAGTTAATATTTTTTTATACTGACAAGGCACAAAATGACTATGTCACTGCAAAAATCACACTTGCTCCTGCACACACATTGAAGCTCTGTTTATTGGGTCATTGGGTCAACGTTTCGGTCTATAGACCTTCATCAGGACCAACATTTTACAATTGTTGTGTGGTTTCCTTTTAACACATCAGTACACTCATGTAATTAGGTGATTACAGGTGTTTGCAATTATAGGAAGAAGTGACATCACTACACTGGAAAAAGAGAGATGAACTAAATACTAAATGCTTAAAATATTTATCAATTTATCAAATAACAATATCATAACCAAGAAATGTTGTTAAGTTAATTTAATCAGTTTGTCTTGTGTCTATGTTGTCTCGTGATTTCCTGTTTTATTTTGTAAGTTAACTCTCCTCTCGTTTCAGGCAACTTGCTCCTTCCCCTGTGTGTTTTCCTGCTGGTCTGATTGTCTGCCCCGCCCCTGATTGTTTCCACCTGTGCCCTTACCCTGTGTGTATATATTGTCTGTGTCTCCCTTTGTCCTGTGCCAGTTCGTTTTGTCCTTCGTGTCAGAGAACCAGCGTTGTATCCATGCCATTTTGCCATTGTCAGGTCTTGTTATTTTGATACTTTGTTCATGTTTGCTTTCTGTTTGATTTTCATAGTGATAGTTCAGCCTCAGTAGAGTCATTTTCTGTTTGTTTTTTCATAGTGATAGTTCAGCCTCAGTAGAGTGATTTTCTGTTTGTTTTTTAGTCTAGCGTTTATTTCCTAGATCATTTTTTGTTCTTAGATTTAGTGTAGATTTTTCCTCTTTCGAGAGTGATTTTCATTTTGTGTTTAATAAACTTTGATTTTGTACTTTGTCTCTCGAGTCGTGCTTTTGGGTTCTGGTCCTTTGTTCGGTCGTGACAAACAATGTATGGAACCACACTAAAAAATTTGTGGTAATCTAGAAAAAAGAGTGAAAAAGATCAAATATAAGTGTCATCTCCACCAGCAACCCTTCATCTCTGAACAAATAGGGGGGACAAATTGAATATACATGTCATAAAATACAGACAACAATCTTCATTCTTCAATAAAGTTACAAATATTTAAGCAATTCAATAAGTCAGACTGATTATAGGAACATTCTCTACAGACACACACTCAAGTCCAATTCATCATTAAGACCAAAAGTCTGTAGTTCTGTGATCCAGAGGGCTTCTCGCCTAAGGAGTGTCTTCTTTAGATTACCCCCACACCTAGGCAGGACAACTTTTTCTGTACCACAGTAGCTAAAAGCTGTAATTGGATTATTAGCCTGTTTAAAGTGGACTGCTACTACTGGGTTGTCTGGATTGTTATTACGGATAGCTGAACGATGTTCTGCTATTCGTACTTGCTGTCATTCCAACGTACACTTTAGAGCAGCTACATTTAATCATATAAATAACTCTTGTTGTAGAGCACATGATAACTCCTCTGATTTTATATTTCTTACCAGTTAAAGGGTGCGAGAAGGTATCACACTGAGTTGTACAATTGCATTGTGCGCACCGCCCACATTTATAATTGCCATCTGGTAAAGAGGGAAGGCTACTCTTTGGTTTTTGAAATAGACAGTCAGCATGGACAAGTTTATCTTTTAAATTCTTACCAAAATGTAATTGTAGGTGGTGTTTTGAATATGTGGCCAATTTTTGGGTCACTCGATAGAATGTACCAGTGTAATAATAATA